AGGGCATGAGTAGCTCCGTATGATGTATTATGACTTGTGTGAATCGTCGGCTTTGGTTTCAGGTTATTCAGAATTTATTTAGAACGATGAATTTCATGATTGAAGTTTTAAGTTGGAAGAGTTGACCAAGTTTGACTTTTTTTGTTATTCGACCTCGGATTGGAGTTTTGATGGTTTCGTTAGGTCCGGATGGTGATTTTGGACTCGGGCGTATGTCCGAATTTGCATTTGGATATTTCTAGAAGGTTTAGCGCTAATTAGCGAAAGTGAAAATTTAAAGGTTTGGAAAGTCCATAAGATCGACAATGAGTTGACCTTGATGATATCGGATTCGGATCATAGTTCCAGGAATTGGAGTAGCTTTGTTATGTCATTTGGGACTTGTGTGCAAAATTTGAGTTCATTCCGGGTTGATTTGATATGTTTCGGCGTAAGTTTTGAAAGTTGAAGATTCAAAGTTCATTAAGTTCTATTTGAGGTATGATTCGTCCTTTCGATATTGTTATGTGTGATTTGAGGCTTCGAGTAGGTTCGTATTGTATTTAGGACTTGTTGGTATGTTTGGATGGGGTCCCGGTGACCTCAGGTGTGTTTCGGGTGAGTTTTGAACAAGTTTGGGCATTTCGGCACTTTGATGATGTGCTGGAGAGAGTGAAGTGTTGAGGGCACATTTTGGAGTGCTGAGGCAAAGCCTCATGTGCGGATCGTAGAGGAAATGTGCGGACCGCAGAAAGGAGAATCTGCAGGTTGATGGTCTGACTTCGGAAGCTTATATCGTTTAATCTATAAGGAATTTGGAGATACTCCAAAAACAAAAGTTGTAGCCCTTTGAGTCTGGTTTTCAGAAAGGTAAACCATTAATTATTTGGATATCTATAAAAGTTATGGATTATTTACTGAATCCTGGTAGTGCAGCCACTGCTGAAGTGCGACCGCACAATTTGGATTGCGGCCGCGGAACCTGGAATGTGCGGACCGCACAAAATATGTGCGGTCAACACAATGGGAGATCAGTTTTTTGTACTTTATAAATGAGGGTTAGAGTATTATTTCATATTTGGACTTTGGGAGCTCGGTTTGTGGCAATGTTTTGTGGGGTTTTCAAGAAATTCATCAGGATAAGTGATTCTAACTCGGATTTGCTTAATATACATGAATATATTATTGTTTTTATCATTTAATTAGTATTTTGAGATGAAAATTTGGGAAAAACTGTAGAAACTTCATAAACTATAATATGAGTTTTTGAAGGCCGAGTTGTCATCAGATTTGACTAATTTTGATATGGTTGGACTCGTGGTTGAATGGGTATTCGGATTTTTGTGGCTTTTATCGAATTCCAAGATGTGGGTCCGGGGTTTAACTTTGAGTTGACTTTTTGACTTTTGATTCAGGACTTAGTATTTTCTTATGGAATTGATTCCTTTAGCTCGTGTTGATTGTATCGAATTGTTTGTGGCTAGATTCGAGGCATTCAGAGGCTGTTTCGCGAGGCAAGGGCGTGATGGAGTAAAGATTTACACGATTTTAGGTAAGTAACACTTCTAAACTTAGTGCTGAGGGTATGAAACCTCGAATTACGTGCTATGTGATTGATGTTGAGGTAACGCAAATGCTAGGTGAGGGGCATGTGGGCATGCAACGTGGTAACTGTGAGTTAGTCGATACCATTGAATTATGTAGCTACCTTGTCTAAACGTTTTTTTTCTATACTCTATGTGTTAGAGCAATTGAGCTCTAATTTATGCTAGAAATCATGTTTAGGCTATATGATGGCTCTATTGGGACCCACAGTGGTCATTCTTTGCTGTTGAGTTATTTGTTTAATTGTAGTTATGTACTCAGTCGTATTCATCATTACATATCATATCTCAGTCTCTGTTATTGTATATTGTCGCATCTCATATCATTGACTTGGGCTGCTTATCATGAGTGTTGTGAGGCTGGGAGACTGGAGAGATTGATGATTGAGTGAGGCCGAGGGCCTGATTCTGAAGATATTGATACAATAGCATGTGAGTTGTCCGTGCGGATCCAGATATTGATACTATAGCACGTGAATTGTCCGTGCAGCACGTGAGTTGTTCGTGCGGATCCAGATATCGATACTATAGCATATGAGTTGTCCGTGCAACATGTGAATTGTCCGTGTAGATCCATATATTGATACTATAGCACGTGAGTTGTCCGTGCATCACGTGAGTTGTCCGTGCGGATTATAGTGCTTGGGCTGAAGGAGCCCCTCCGGAGTCTGCACAACCCAGTGAGCGCAGTTGCTAGCAGTTATTATGTTTGGGCTAGATCTACCCTGTACAATACTGAGTGACTCAGTGTGATGAGTGTTGAGCATGATGAGTGAGAATACGAGACAGTGAGATTGAGTACTCTGAGAGTGTGAGTACATCAGTTCATCATTGAGATGCATTGCATTTGACATGCGTACTTGAGATACAGGCATAAAGATTCATTTTCTCATGCTATCTGAAAATGAAAAATCTTGTTTATTGTTGAAAGGTTTTTTTTTTGGGGAAAATCACAGTTTTCAAACTTATTCATATTTTTTGAGGTTTTCGGTGAAAGATAAGTTAATTTGAAATATTTAGATTTAATCGAGAAAGGAATCTAAATCGGAAGTATAATCTAATCACTTATTGAATTCGTGAGAATCGATAGAACCTTCAGAGTGAAATATAACAGTGTCAAATTTAGGATAGCAGTCTTGCACCTATCATGTCAAAACCCTTATTCTTCGTCTTGATAATAACCCATTACTCTACTCTCTAGTTCTCTGTAAACGATTGCTAATTAATTTTAACAGTTAATCTTTTTTCATAGTCATTCCAATCAAAGTGTGAATCATCCTGAATAGTGTTAAACCAAAAATTACTTGAACATTATTGAAATCCAATTCTTATGGAGACGATAATTAAACTATACTATCTTTGGCTAGTGAGCATCAATTTCGTGTTGTATTTTGTACTCGTCAAATTTTGGCGCAATTGCGGAGGATTGGCAATCAATAGTGTTCAAAATAGTTTTTGGTGCTAATTCAGGAACAAATTTTATTTTCTTGTATTAACGTTTCTTACTTGTGCAGGTAACAGATTTGATTTCTCTGGTGTATGACTCGATCTTCTTCAAAGGAAGTGAAGCATACGAGCTGGAGTTAGAGAAACACCGGTGACAGCTGAGAAAAGAGAGAAAACTCACCAGAAATTTCTTGGGGCAGTCTTCGACCCAGGAACCCATGGCTAAAAACAGTAATGATGGAGTTGATTTGGCTACAAGGGAAGCCACCAAGCGATAAGAAGCAGCTGCACAGAAAGTTACTGAAGCAGCTCTAGGAGATGATGAAACTGTTAATAGGGACAGAGGACGGAGATTCAACCTGAACCGACCTCTTGTAGAAGATGAATTTTGGAATGTTGGACCCATGCCTGGTAACTTATAAAGAGAATATGCTAGGCCAGTATACAATTAGGGATTGTCAAGTGTGAGGGCCCCGCCGATTGCAGTGAAGAACTGAAGCAAAGTCTTATGTAAACCATCCAAAATAACTATGTCTTCAGAGGCAAGGTGATTAAAGATCCAATCACAAATCTGATGGATTTTGAGGAAATCATGAACACCTTCCAGTACAACGGAGTGTCAAAAGATGCAGTTTATTTAAGGGCATTCCCCTTTTCACTGCACTGGCTGCAAAGCTTACCAACTGGGTCTATCAGGACATGGGAAGACATGACTAAAACGTTCCTTAACAAATACTTCTCATCGGCAAAAACGGGGAAATTTAGGAGAGAAATCCATAACTTCTGCCAAAAGGACACAAAAATAGGTTTTGAGGCATGGAAGAGGTTCAAGAGATAGTCAGAAAATGTCAGCATAATGGAATTGAATTGTGGATGCAACTCCAGGATTTTTGGGATAGATTGACACCTTCTTCACGAAGAACTCTAAGCAATGCGGTTGGAGGTCCTTTAATGAAGAAAACACCTGAGGAGATTGTTGTGATTCTTGATGAGCTATCTGAAGATGCAACCAATGGCCTACTGAAGGAAATAAAGAAGAAAAGCGGTTGGGATACATCAGGTGGAATCTAATATCTCAATGCAGGCTTAGATTGCTTCAATAACAAAGAAGATCAGAAAGTTGACCTTAACTAAGGTCCAAAGTCAGCCACCAACAGTTTGTGATTTTTGTGGGATGGGCCATCCAACACATGAGTGTCAGGCCTCAGTTACAAATGAGGTGGTGAATGATGTGGGAAGTTTTGACAGAAGAAACTATCAAGGTGGAAGAAATTTCAACTCCATGGGCTAGAGGCACCCCGATTTTTTGTGGAGTTTACCTGGTGGTAGTTTGAACGCATGGCAACAGAATAATCCCCTACCCCAGGGACAAGGAGCTCCAGGTTTTCTAAATTAACAGAGGCAGTAATACCAGCCCAATAGTCCAATCAGTGTAGCATGAAAGTCTAATGAAGGCCTTCATTATTTAGACATATGAGAGACTTGAAACTCATGGCCAAATCATCCGGAACTTGGAAATACATGTGGGGAATATTGCTAATCTATTATCTGCGAGGGCTCCAGGAACGCTTCCTGCTGATACCGAAAGAAATCCAAAAGAAACGATAAAACGTAGTGTCATTAAGGAGTGGGCAAGTATTGAAGGACCCAGTGCAAAATAAAAAGGGCGAGTTGATTCAAGGACAAATTGAGACTGTAGAGGAGCAGAAAAATAACAATAATCAAGAAGTTGAAGTGAGGGTAGATCCATAGGATGGTCTGAAGAAGAAGAGGAAGAATAGATCTTTGAAGAAGAAGAAGAAGAAGAACAAAAATTCAATGAATGAAGAGACTGAGGAAATCAAATATATGCATGCTCTACCTTTCCCCCAGAAGAAAAGAAGAGATAAGTTGGTCAAACAATTTAGGCGTTTTCTAGAAGTGCTCAAATAGGTGCATGTTAATCTACCTTTCAACAAGGTACTCTCACAAATGCCAGCATATGCCAAGTTCTTGAAGGAGATATTGTCCAACAAGCAAAAAGTGGAAGAGACTTCGGTTGTCAAGCTCACAGAGTATTGTAGTGCGATTCTGCAAAATAAGTTCCCTCGAAAGTGTGGAGATCCTGGGAATTTCGCTATAGCTTGCTCTCTAGGAAGTACAAACTTTGATAAGTCTTTGTGTGATTCAGGTGCTTCTATTATTCTTATGCCCTTGTCTATTTTCAGGAAGCTTGAGAGAGAGATTGGGTCAATCAAATCTGTACCTGTGTCTTTGCAGTTGATGGATCAGACTATGATAATACTTGAAGAAATAGTGGAAGATGTACTAGTTCGGGTGGACAAATTTGCGTTCTCTGTGGACTTCATGTGGTGAACATGGAAGAAAATAAGGAGGTCCCTCTGATTTTAGGGAGACCTTTCTTGGCTACTAGCAGAGCTATACTGGATATTCAGGAAAGGCATCTCATGCTAAGAGCGAGGGAAGAGAGAGTGGTGTTCAAGATGAAGGAAGCAATAAGGGCACCTAGGGAAGACTAATTTTAAGGTGGATGTCCTAAAGGATCTAGCTGAAGAGAACAAACATGATAAGTGTGGGGTGTGCCCAAAGAAGTTAGAAAAGAAAATCTCGGCATGGTTGTGTGCACTAGGTCAGGCGTGCAAAGCAGACCCCGATATTGATTCAGACCCAGACTAGATGATTCATGGAGTTTTTTTATCTCTTGCTTTTTATTTGTGTGTCATGGGGACATGTCACAATTTAAAGTGTGTGGTGAGGGATGTAAATATGTATATATGTTTTCTTTGTGTATGTCTTCATCATTATTATTTGACTTTTCCCAACAAAGGATTTCCTCGACTATCTTGTGGTGCACTAAAAGATGACTGCCCCACATAAGTACCCTGACTAACTGGAGCATCACGAGTAGTCTGAAGTATGAACTGGACTGGCCGACTGCCCGAGCCTCCGCCACGATGAGTCATAGCTGAAGAGTATAATCCACTAAACCCTCCAGAACCTCGAGACCTCTTGGTCTCCTTATCCTCCCTCTCCTCACACCGAATACGCTCTAACATCCTGGCAGTCTTCACCACCTGCTGAAATAGAGTATCAGTCTGCAACTCCCGAGCCATGTAGAATCTATGATCATAACTGAGCCCCTCAATGAATCTGCGGACTCGCTCTCTGACTGTAGGAACCAAAGTAGGTGCATGACGGGATAACTCACCGAACCTGATGGCATACTTTAACACTGTCATGGTGCCCTGATGCAGTTGCTCAAACTTTGTACGCTACGCATCCCTGAGGGTCTAGGGAACAAACTCCCTCAAGAACATCTTTGAAAACTGATCCCAAATGGGTGGTGCTGCATCGGCTGGTCTACCCTCCTCATAAACCTGTCGCCATTGATACGCTGCTCCTGACAGCTGAAATGTAGTAAAAGCAACTCCGCTCACCTCCACAATACCTATGGTGCATAGAATACAATGACACTTCTCTAGAAAACCATGTGCATCCTCGGTAGCTGTGCCACTAAAAGTAGGTGGACTATACCTCTTGAACCTCTCAAGCCTCTTTTGTTCCTCCTCTGATGCCCCTGGCCTGACCTCAGGCTGAATCGGAATAATAGGTTGTACCAGCACCACACCCGGAACCTAACCCATATGAGCATGTTGCTCTAGAGTACATACGGTGGGAGTCTGAGCTCCTCCCCCAATCTACGAAATAGTTGGTGCAATAGAGATCAATCCCGCCTGAGCCAATATATCAAACATGCTCAAGAACTGCGCTAAAGTCTCCTGAAGTTCGGGGGTAACAACAGACGCCTCCGGTGCCTGTCCTCCAACCGGAGCTACTGGCGGCTCCTCAACTACTGCTCTGACAGGTGCTCTAGATGCGGCGCGTTCCCCTCCCCGGCCTCTACCTCGGCCCCGGCCTCTAGCGGCTCTAACAGGGGGCGTGGGTGTCTGCTCATCTGATACGGTAGCGCGTGTCCTCACCATCTGTGAAATCAACAAATCCGCACGGCAGGAATGAAAGAAGTGAAATTTTTCCAATATTTCTGTAGCCTCTCGAAGATAAGTACATACGTCTCCATATCAATCCGTAAGACTCTACTAAACTTGCTTGTGACTCGTAAAACCTATAAACCTAGAGCTTTGATACCAACTTGTCACAACCAAAAAACCCACCGCATGCATCGTGATGGCACCTAGTCTCTAAGACTAGGTAAGCAGATTACTAACAACGATTAAGCCAATTTTAACAATGATAATTTGAAACATAGTTTAAAATAAATATCGAAACAAAAGCGGAATAAGCCTACGTGACAATGATCATAACAACCTCCCAAGATTTGGTAATACAGAGTCACAAACTCTAGCTGAATATATGAAATGATCTCAAGGATCGAAATAAAATACTGTTCAAATAACAACCAACAATACAATATAAGGAAAGGACTCCAAGGGACTGCGACTACCAAGCAACTCTACCTTGAATCCTTGCGATCAACAAGCTGACTCCACCCGAGTCCGATATCTCCAATACCTGGCTCTGCACAAAAATATGTAGAAGTGTAGCATGAGTAAACTACGGTCGGTACCCAGTAAGTATCAAGACTAACCTCGGTGGAGTAGTGACGAGGTACAGTCAAGACACTCACTAGACAAAATAACTTGTGCAGTATAGAAATATAAAGCTAATAATGGAAAGCAGAAATCAGTAAATGGCAATAAAATCAACATGTGATATAAACATTAAAGCAATAACACCGTGAAAATTCCATAGAAACCAAATAAGGAACACAAAGGACAGCCAATTAATCAAGCCGTTCTAACACAAGATTCACAATGAAATCACTTTGTGATACCTTATTTCATAGTCACAAGTCACGGGTCTCACCCCCAGCATATACTCACGGCACCTCGTGCCCGCATCTCGAATCACAAATGCATGGACAACTCATGTGCCAATATCTCCATCCGCCCGGCATGATCACAGGCTCACATTCACAATCCGCCCGGCGTGGTCACAGGCTCACATTCACAATCCGCCCGGCATGGTCACAGGCTCACAATCACAATCCGCCCGGCATGGTCACACGCTCACAATCATAATCCGCCCGGTATGGTCATAGGCTCAATAGCAACATAAAGACGGATAATACAAGAACACATGGGCGTGATCAATAAATGTCAAGTTGCATGCTCCTAAGCTAGTATAAGTGGTATGCTACGGTGTATGCTTGTGTGAGTGTACTACCGCAACCCCAATTAACAAGTAATTTTAAGTAAATCGAGTAGCTCATCGAAGCAACAAAATAAGTGACGCAAGGTGTATGTCAAACACAAGGAAAAGCACACCATCACACAAAAATCACCAACACAATGTCCCCAAGCCATCACACATCATCCCTGATATTGCCACCCTTATCTCTCCGATAGCCACCCGTATCACTCCGCCCTGACAATATCGTTAGCCACCCTTATCTCTCCGATAGCCACCTGTATCACTACATATAATAGCCACCCGTATCACGCCGCCCTGACAATAACACAATAGCCACCTTTATTACTTCGTATATTCAACAACAATGAGATGCCACCCTTATGCCCCGCATAACAACAATGGTGAAAACCACCCTTATACTCCGCATAACAACAACCAAAACATACAATAATTCCCAAATGCTAGCATCACAACAACACGCCGTATCAACTCATAACACAAGTGCCCATAGGCCACAACCTTTCCAAAATCCAATAATATCAATATTTCAACAACAAATAGCCCACAGCTCAAACACAATGTGTATAAAATCTCAATAACAACAAAACGAGCGAAAAGTAACTCACAAGGAACAACACCCCATTTAAACAAAACTTTAATTTAAAATAGATTAATGACTTTCGATAACCTCAATTCCAATTAATTGTTTAAGGATAAACTCAATAGTGAAAGCATCTCCATGAAATGGTAAACTCTAGGTTCTAGTGTATGAATTAGGCTAACAATGAAAGAGAGATGACACGAACTAGTACTACGTCTAAATGCATGAGAATAACCCGGCAACAAAAGGATATCATGCACAATAATTTCAACTAAGAATAACTCAACAATAAAAGAGATCACATTATAATAAATGTGGTAACAACTTCAAATAAAACATATAAGAGCTAACTCAACAAGTAAAGGATGTGACATGTAACGACAACTTCAAACAAAGCATGTGATAGTAGACATGGCGAATAAAAGATATAACATGTGCTAAAAATTCCAAATAAATACATGAAAAGAAGCTTAAGAGTCTAAACCGGTCAATTTCCACAAATAAGCCTGAGTACGTACTCGTCACCTTGCGTACAAGGCTTTCACATAACATAATTAGCACAAACGACTCAAATCCTAAGGGGTAGTTCCCCCCCCACAAAGTTAGGCAAGATACTTACCTCAAAGAAGCTAAATCGATACTCTAAAATGACCTTCTCGTATGAAACAACCTCCGAATAGCTCAAATCTAGCCAAAATAACTTAATATCATAAATAAAAATCATAGAAAAAACCTACGGATAATAAAGCTTCGATCTTTAATGAAAACTAAAAAGTCAACCCCGGGCCCGCACCTCAGAACCCGATAAAATCTATAAATTTTGACAACCCATTCAATTACAAGTCCAACCATACTGATTTTATCCAATTCCGACTCTGAATCGATGTTCAAAACTCAATTATTCTCTTTAGAAAAGTTTTTGATAAAACCCCCAATTCTCCAATAAAAATATGAATTAATTCAAAAATGAACTTCTGTAATCATATCAAAATACAAAAATTATAGTTAGATACTGAACCCCATGAAAAGACGAGAAGAACGCTGCAAAAATCACCTCAATCGAAGCTCTAGAACTCAAGATATGCTCAAAATACCAAAAGAACACGGTCTGATATTTTTATACACAGGGATTTTTGCTTTTGCGACCAAAAATCCACACCTGTGCATTTCCAGCTGTCCTTTCCGCTTTTGCGGACCATTTTTTGCACCTACGGGGTCGCAGATGCGGACCCAACTTCGCATCTGCGAAGCACCAGCACCAGCTCTCTTCTTTGACACTAAAATGTGCATAACGCCCTCATACGATGTCCAAATTCGATGGTTCTTTTTGTTATGCCTATGTAATTACAATACGGATCTAATGATTCAATCAAAATGGAAATTGGATCTTATTTTCTCAATGTGGTATCATTTTATCTTGAAGAAATGAAGTTGAGACATAAAAAACGAGCGCAACACAACCCAAACCTATCTGAAACTCACCCAAGCCCATCGGGACCCCGTCCGAACGTACCAATAAGTCGAAAAATATAACGCGGATCTG